AGTTCTACAGAGGAATCATCGAGTCTGTTCTCTGCACCTCCATCACTGTCTGGTTTGACTGAGCAACCAAACAGGACAAGTACAGACTTGAGTGGACAGTCAGGACTGCAGAAAAGGTCACTGGTGTGAGCCTGCCCTCCATGGAGGACCTGTGCATCGCATAGGTCAAAAGGAGGGCAGAGAGGATCACTGAAGACCCTTCACACTCTGGACACAATCTGTTTGAACTCCTCCCCTCTGGATGACGTTACAGGTCACTGTGCACTAAGACAACCAGGCACAGGGACAGTTTCTTCCCCCAGGCTGTCAGTCTGATGGACACTTAACCAACGACAGTATGACTGGACAATAACCCTCAGTGGAACACCTGTAAATATTCCTTGTACGGACTAAACAGATCTGTACAGGTCTCTATTTTTAAGTACTCTATTTTTATTCCTGTTTATCTCATTTCAAAGAGCATTCTTTTGTCTGTCTGCATTGTTTACTGCCTGTTTATACTGCTCATTTTGCATTGTTTGCACTGTTTGTTGCTTGTTAATAGTGCTTATTTTGTTATATTACACGGCCTTATGTTGGTTTACTGTTTACTTGCCCCTTCCATGGGGATATTTACAGTATATACACATTGAGAGCCGATGTACCAGAGTCAAATTCCTCGTGTGTCCGACACACCTGGCCAATAAAGCTGATTCTGATTCTGATTTGCTTAGCTTTTTCATTAATTTCATTTCAGTTTGCATACAGGTCAAACAGGTCCACAGAGGATGCCATTTCTACTGTTCTCCATCCAGCCCTCACCCACCTAGATTCAAAGAACTCTTGCATGCGAATGCTGTTCCTAGACTTCAGTTCAGCATTCAACTCAATCATCCCCCAGCAGCTTATACAAAAATTTGGACACTTGGGACTCAAAACCTTTCTCTGCAACTAGGTGCTGGACATTCTAACAGGGAGGCCACAAAATGTGCGGGTTGGCAGCCACATCTCCAAGACCATCACACTGAGAACAGGGGCTCTGAAGGGGTGTGTACTCAGCCCATTGCTCTTCAAACTGTTGACCCACGACTGTGTGCCAACCTACAGCAACAACCACACTGTCAAGTTTGCAGATGACACGACTGTAGTTGGCCTCATTACCAACAATGAGGAGGCTAACTACAGGAGTGAGGTCTCCCAAGTGGTTCAGTGATATAAGGACAACAACCTCTTCCTCAATGTGGGAAAGACTAAAGAGATTGTTGTGGACTTCAGGAGAAAACCTCTAAAGCATCGACGGTGCTGTAGTGGAGAGAGTTAGCAGTACCAAGTTCCTGGGGGTGCACATCTCTGAGGACCTCTCCTGGACCAACACCTCCACAACACTGGCCAAGAAAGCTCAAACACGCCTCTACTTCCTCAGTGAACTGAGGAGAGCCAGTGCCCCACCCCCCATCATGTGGTCCTTCTACCGTGGCACCATTGAGAGCGTCATCACTGGCTGCCTCACTGTGTGGTACGGAGCCTGTACTGCCTCCTGCAGAAGGACCCTGCAACACATAGTGAAAACAGCCAGCAAGATCATCGGCACCCCTCTGCCTTCCCTTCCCTATGGACATCTTCAACACCCGCCTCACCCGCAGAGCCATCAGCATTTCTGATGACACCTCCCACCCCACACACTCCCACTTCAGACTCCTGCCTTCAGGGAGAAGATATCGGCGTCTTCAGGCCCACTCCACCAGACTTACAAACAGCTTCATCCACCAGGCTTTGAGAATGCTGAACGCTGTTCATTACCTCTGCCCCCTGCCCCTGGACTGTGACCCACCACAGAACATAAAGACTACCTCTGCTGTTGCAAAATCCCTGTACATTCCCTCTTTTCTTATATTCCGGTTCTGTACCAGAAACAAATTCCTTGTGTGTAACATACTTGGCCAATAAAGGTGATTATCCTTATCCTTATTACATGTACAGTAAATCTGCTGCCGACTGTTTTTACCATCATATCTGCTGCTATCGGTCATTTGCACTACTGTCCATGTGCATTTCATAAGCTATTATGCATCCCATCTCCAACGCCCTGGTGATGCTGAACCACCTGACAATCTTCTTGTTATTGTTTGCACTACTGTCACTGATTGTACAGGGTTTTAAGTCATAGCCTATTAGGTTGTACTATTTAGTTTTATCCTAATTACTTTAATCCAGTCTTCTTATTCTATTTTATTCCATTTTTACTCTACTTTATTCTGTTTGTTTCTTAAATGGTATGGAACTCAATACTAGGTGAGAGAGAAATGCTATTTCTATTTTCTGTATGTCCTGCACATATAGTGAATTGACAATACAAATCTTGGTAACACCACACAGGCAGAGAGGAAGGCTCTTCAAAGGGTCATAAAGACTGCAGAGAGGATCACTGGGACAAAACTGCCTGCTATGGACATAATATACGCACAGCACTCTCACAAACGAGCAGAGAACAAAATTAGAGACCCACTCCACCCAGCTCACTCTCTGCTCAGACACAAAAACTGCACCCACAACCTCAGGCACAGAGGACAGTATCATCACACACAGAACAAGATTTTACAACAGCTTATTCAGTAAGACTGATAGCAAATACACAATGTGGAAAAAACGTGTGCAATAACCCCTGATTACCCTAAGTGGAAGACCATATACGTACAATTACATTATGTGAAATACTATGTGCAACATCTGAAACTCCCCATTTTACCTGCTACCTTATTCCTGTATCCACAATTTTGTCAACTATTTTGTTTTCTTGGGTGATCTTATACTTTGACCAGTTCGTTCCTGGAGAGCCCTGCACAAGAATTCGTATATGCCTAGACTGTGTGTTTATGCATAAATGGCGAATAAAAATCTTGAATCTTGAATCTTGAACCTTGAACTTAATTATTTGGTCTGTGAAAGATGCAAAATCAGCGAATGCCATCACAGTATGTTACAGGTGATGTCCAATATATCCAGTGAATTCTTACATTAGAAAGGTTTGGTATGTTTCTTTGAGAAAAAACGGAGTTTACCGTGACCTGTCATAGAGGTGACAGGCTGACCTCAGTCATGTCTGATCTGTGCTGGTGTTTCTTTTTTTTTTGTCTCTGTGTCTGCAGTCAATCATTTTTGATGAAGTGGACCTGACCGATGCCAGTGTCGCCGAGTCCAGCACCAAGAACTTCAACAACAGCTTCACTGTGAGTTGAGCGTGAGAACAGAAGCTCAGCTTCACATAACAGCAATAACCACATCGCTGTCACAGGGCTGTGCTGCTGTAAGCCTGTTGTTCCAGCGACAGGTGAGACAGGAGGTCCGAGCCAGGAAAAAGAGGTGGGAGTTTTGTAGTGGAGCCTCATCCATGTTCCACAGTGGGAATGCTGTTGTTTTCTGTGAAAGCTTCAGTGTGTGGTCTGTAAACATGGAGCTGATGTGACCAAACAGCATCACTTGGTTTCATCCGTTCAAAGGACGTCCTCCCAGAGGCATTGAGCGTTAGCTAATCCCACTCAGCCTGGCTCTTCTTCCATGGAGCTCCATACCTAGAAAGTTATTAGTTGCTTATATGAAATATAAGAATACAAATAGTTATTAGTATTATTATGGCGCTCTGCATAAACACGGTTTCCGTTGGTCCTTAAGTCTTAAATTTAACTTGATGAAACCTGCAGAAGCCCTGATAAAGCTATTCCTAATAATCATTATAAGTAAAAAAATTTTTTTATCAGTGTTCTTGTTGTTAGGCAGCTCTGTATAAATGAAGTAATTATCATCTGTGGGTAAAATAAATGTAGCTGTTGTACAGAGCACTGGTACAAACTAATACTAATGCGGAATCGAACATGACTAAACTGTGGGTAAAAATATTGATAATCATCTATAGCAGTTTGTTCTAAACTGGCTGAATCCTAGTGTAAGATACACACGAACATGTCCGGCTGCTGAGAAAGGCCTTATTTTGGTGAACTTTGCCACTTCCTGTCACCAAGGCTTTGGTATTTTTGAGACTGAGGCAATGTAGCGGTAGGGAGGGGCTGAGTTGAATGGTCTCACTGTTTCACACTGTCCTTGTGTGACTGAGTGTATTTATGGCAACCTGTGACACTGATCAGAAACACAGCTCTTGCACGTCACCAGGATGTTTCTGTTCACTTATTTTATATTACACACACACACATCATTAAAACTTTTGACTGTTAGTGTATATACTACCTGTCTGTGTGTGTGTTCACACTTAGTGTCTTTATATATGTCGTCATCGTCTCTGTTGGCCCTGCCTTCCTCCCAGTCAGGGGAGATGGTGTTGACGAAAGACAGGAAGTAGGTGTGAACCATTCTAGTGGATGTGGGAGGGGCTAGTGAATGAGTGAGAGACATCAGACTGAAGACCAGAACCTGGTCTCCTGGAGATCTGAGCCCTCCGGGATCAGGGCTGTGAGCTGGACCTCTACAGTTTTTTTGGAACCCTCGAGCGCTCAGGGTTTCAGGACTGTGGTCTCTGTATTTCAGACACGGTAAGACTCAGACTGTTGTTTTATTTCAACGGTTTACGTTTCTGACAGTAGACCAGCAGCAGTTGGGAATTCGGAGGTCATTGTCCGACGTCATGTAGAGAAGTTGTGTCTCAGCTCCTGTTGTATTGGAGCTGGAGCCTCAGGTAAGGGCCTGGTTGATGGACGGAGCTCTTAGACATGATGTTAACGTGTTTGTCCACTCATACAAAACAAATCACCTAACACAGTTTAACACTAAATAACATATAAATAATGAACTTTTCACTAATGTTTCTAAAATGAGAGCACAGTGTGATGTTTGTTGACTGTCACATGGGAGAAAAATCTGCACTGTAAAGTGCATTTTGTCTGTAAAATTGAAAATGTAGAGTGCAGAGCAGCTCAAGCTAAATGACTGGTCACAGTTTATATCACTAAAGAACCAAATGACAAAGTCAGAAGGCACTGCACAGTGTTGTTGCTGTGTCTCAGAGCTGTTAGTGTGAAGGAAATGGTTTGGTTTGGCAGCGAAACACGAAAAGTGTCAGGAATGATGGAGAGAAAGGAAACACTGAGCCCTCTGTCCTGAGAGAGAGAGAGCTGCTGAGCACAGCAGCATGTAATCCAGTCTGTGAACGCATGAATGACTATTTCTGACGTCACGATGGCTAGAGGAGGTCTGGCGCCCGGGTCCAGAGTCAGGAGCCAGTTGGTTCATGGCTTGTGGGTAAAGTGAAGGCAGAACATTGAGCACAACATAAACTGACCACCACTGAGGCAGAAATAGATCATTATCATAACAAACACAATAAAACTTCATTAGTAGATCCAAAGACGGATTTCCAATCGTCTATTGACTGGTGTACACAGAGTATTACTGACTGATGAGGAAGATTGGCTGTCGGAGATAGAGTTGGCCTTGAACCCTCATGTAGCCGGCACGTGGCTGTCGAACACTGTCCAGTACTGAGAGCTTCACTCATCATTTGTCCAGGCCCAGACTGTTTTACTCGGAAGCTGCTTGTATTTAGACAGCAGTGCATTAGCTGACAACTTTGACTTTTGTTCACTGAAACGAGGAGTATGTTAACATTTTTCAGAGTGAAAAGTCCTGTTGTGGTTTCATCTCCTCTGTGAAAAATAGACCAGGGACAGACCAGATGCACATGTAAAGTGCTTTAAATGATGCTTTTCATGATATCTTTTTAAGCACTGTGTGGAAACAGGCCAGGTCTATAAATGAGTTTCATCCTTCTTAGGCAGAGTGGTAGAAAGTGTGTGTGTGTGTGTGTGTGGTCACGCTCTGCTGTGAAGTTAATGAATGAACCCAGAGGAAATGATGTGTAGCCAGTCACAGCTCCACGCAGAACTGATCCACAGGTTTACTACAACTGATTTGTCTTTTGACAGCACCAACAGTCCCAAGTTCAGTCATTTAGAGGATTGTCTGTTATTCTTTGACCTTTGTGATATGACATCAGTAACTCTTGGGTTTGTTGGACAAAAGAAGCTATACAGATGGTCATGTCCAAAAATATTGGCTCCCCTGTGTTTTTGTTACATAATGCACCACTACTCCCAGAAAACCATTGCAGTCATTCATTCTTTGGCATTCTCATGTTTATTTCTTTTGTTTGCATTGGAACAACACAAACAAGCCAAATCTGATACAGTCCACACAGAACTCCAGAAATGGACTGGACAGGATTATTGACACCATCAGTATAAACCCAGTCAGTTCCACATCAATATATAGCAGTTGTAAAAGGACAAAAAGCTCTGCTATAGGGCGGATGCTGAATATTGATCAGTTGGTACTGTATCAGGAGAGAAAGATAGATCAATAACAGACCCAAGAGTTTAGTCAGGGAAAACCTTGTCAAATACATTTTTATTTGTCGGGAGCATCCAGGACCCGCTGTGCCAGCACATGGGGCAGAGTAAGCACCAGCCTGGTGTTGAGTTAATCTCCGATTCATTCAGTTAATAAAATGTCGACAGTAACAAACACCCACAACAGTTTCCAAGGTGACATTTCTATCCAGACTCCAGAGAGATCTAGTCTCCTGTGCCAGAAACACAGGACGGAGGTTTGCCTTGAAACCTGATCACTTTTCCAATATACTGATCTGGGAACTTAACGGTCCCAGCTCCAGAAATCTGAATTTGGCAGTGAGTTTGTTTGTGCGTAGCCGTTTACACAGCGGCCTCTTTGTGTGTGTGTGTGTGTGTGTGTGTGTGTGTGTGTGTGTGTGTGTGTGTGTGTGTGTCTATTTCTGTCAGCATGGGAACACAAGCAGCTGAACAGGAAGTGGAAGTCTACATCTGTTTTCCTGGAAAGAACACACACACACACACACTCCTGCTGTGTGTTATATTACTGTGAGAACAACACAGCTGGGCTCAGTTCACACTTGAAACCAGTACTGATACCAGTATTACCAGTAAACACTGGAGCATACTATGCCTGTTTGTTTAGGTGTGTGCTTACCTGTCCACTATTCTGTGTGTTAACTTGCCTGTATACCTTTGTTTACCTGTCAACCTGTGTGTGTGTGTTCCCCTGTCTGTCTGTGTGTGTGTGTGCAGGTCATCACCCCCTGCAGACGTTTGATTCTGTGTGCAGACAACAGGAAAGAGATGGAGGAGTGGATAGCAGCTCTGCGCAGCATCCAGAACAGACAGACCTATGAGGTGTGTCTCTGTGTTATTACCAGTATGACCAGTGGCCCCAGTACAAGCTGCTGACTGTGTGTGTGTGTGTTTCTCTTCTAGTCCACCCAGTACAGCATGGACCAGTTCAGTGGGATGCACAACTGGTATGCCTGCTCCCACGCCAGGCCGACTTACTGTAACGTCTGCAGAGAAGCTCTGTCTGGAGTCACATCCCACGGCCTGTCCTGTGAAGGTACACAACACGTACACAGCATACATGTATATGTACGCTCAGTGGTCACTTTATTAAGAACCCCTGTCTCCGACTCAAGTCAGTCTGAGCCAACAGTGCTGCAGTAAATCCTCCTTTGTGAAGGTGATGATGTTCAGTTTATGTTCAGACTGTTTCACAGAGGTGCTGGTCCACCTGTGTGCTCATTGTGGAAGCTGAAGTTTCTGCTGATGTTCATCAGCACTGTGCTATTCTGAGATCTCTTTCTGGTTTTTTTCTCCACCTGTTGTCGTCGAGTGTGTATTAACTGTGTGTGTGTCACAGTGTGTAAATTCAAGGCTCACAAACGTTGTGCAGTCAGAGCCACCAACAACTGTAAATGGACAACACTGGCTTCTATTGGGAAGGATATCATAGAGGACGAGGACGGGGTGAGACACATTCACAGTTTCCTGGAATCGAACAGTGTCAGTAAATGCTTTGTCTCCACCTGGACCTTCTCACTTGAGCCCTGACCCCTCTTTTCCTCAGGTGTCGATGCCTCACCAGTGGTTGGAGGGGAACCTCCCGGTGTCGGCTAAATGTAACGTGTGTGATAAAACCTGCGGCAGCGTGCTGCGCCTGCAGGACTGGAGATGTCTGTGGTGTAAAGCCATGGTGAGACAGTTACTGTTCTTTGATTGGCTCCTCATTTAATTTGCTCTTCTTCCTCCGTGTTGACCTGTCATCCTGACAAATTCAGTGTAACATTCATCTCCATGGCACTAATTCATGTTGTGCTGACTGCAGCTAACAGCACCTCCATCAGAAATGTTTCCCTCATGTTTATACCCCACAAATATCAGTCCTTCACTGTGCTGACTGGTGTATGGACAGGTTTTTGAAGCTGCTTGAGTCTTACTGTGAACTGGGGCTGGTTGTTGTATGTGCAGAAGGTCTTGGTGGGCACACACATGTCCCCACAAAGGCTGCTGTATGATGCCACAGTGTCACTGAGTTCTGCATCTCTGACTCTGCCTGCTCGGTCCATTTCTTTGGTCCATTTCACAATATAATAGTATTACACAACTACCATTATTGTTATCAGCTACATGCCTCAAAGGAATGAAAACAAAAGGGTCTTGTTTTTATTGTAGGTAACTGTGACAGTTGATTGAGATGGACTGCAGCTCGATTGACAGTAAAGAATAAATGGAACTATAAACATGTTTTTTAAAAAAGAATCTAACTATAACATTTCATTATTAAAGCGAGTTAGTTAGCATGTTAGCACCAGTAATAGACAAAAGTAGTCACATCCTTCAGGAAAAGTATGAATAACACACTAAAAGTAGCCTGTTACAAGTAAAAGTATTATGAAAATGTATTTAAAGTATTAAATATATAAACAGTCTACTCAAGGCAGAAAAATGTTTATATATATATATATACACACACTATACTACTATACACTCACCGGCCACTGTATTAGGTACATCTGTACAGTTGTATGCACTTCACTGCAATACGTTCACCTTAATATCTGTGTTTATGAAGCTCAACATGTTTCAGTTTTTGGTGAAATTGTCATAAATGTATAAATTCAACTATATGTTTATTACTGAGGTTGCAGATAAAGGTGGTGGTGTACTGAAATACATTATATTCAGAGGTGTCTGTATTTTTGTTCTCCGCAGCTACATGCATGAGAGGGTCAGAATATTAGGAACACCTCTGAATGTAGTGTTGTTCAGTACAACATACACATACTCATTTATATGAGCAAAGAAAGTCTGTGTTTCTGGGATCAGATCGCGATCAAGTGTGAATCTTTTTGTAAGTCAGAGATTAGCAAGTGAACAAACATTGTGGAAAATGATTTCGGTAGCACATTTTATGACTGACGTTTATATACTCGTGCCTTTTATCCTTGGGATTAAAGTTATAAACGGGACACATACTCTGACCTGTATGGAGAGATGGCGTTCTTGAAGGTGTTCTTTTTGAGATATCCAAACTAATTCTGCACTGCTGGCTTAAATTTTTTTGGTGCATGGAGTTTGGTGATCTCAGCCTCCTCCTCTGCCATTTGGCTGCTGCGTGTGTGTGTGTGTGTGTGTGTGTGGGGTGCACAGGTATTGCATTTTTTTCTTCAATACCGGTCATAAGAAAATGTGCATGGTATGATAACCATTAATTTTCATATCATGGTGTACTGTGAAATTGGGATACCGCTGCAACCCAAGCCCAGGGTAGCATCTGTGTGGCTTCTCTCCAATCTTTGATTTGTGCCTTTGACCAAAACAGGTGTGTGTTTTCCATCAGTCCTTACTAGGACAGTGGTGGTTATGTTTTCCAGCCAATGGGATGCTGGTGTTGGTTTTGACTGTATCTTAACATGTTAAGATAATTATTTAATGGAAAGAGCACAGACCAAGTGTTTGTGTTTCTGTGGATAAATTCATCATGTGACACAGAGTCCAGGTAATTCTACCTCTCATGGTTCCCCTCCTGTCCTGCAGGTGCACTCGGGCTGTAAGGAGCAGCTGTCCTCTAAGTGTCCTCTGGGTCAATGTAAAGTGTCCGTCATCCCTCCAACTGCACTCAACAGCATCGACTCTGACGGTGATAACATGTGGTTCCAGTGATCCACCTGGTCTTTTAATTTTTTGGACAGTGTTACTGATGTGAACTCTGTCTCTCCAGGTTTCTGGAAGGCATCATGTCCTCCGTCCTGCACCAGTCCTCTGCTTGTCTTTGTCAACTCCAAGAGTGGAGACAATCAGGGCGTCAAGTTCTTGCGCCGCTTCAAACAGTTGCTGAACCCGGCGCAGGTGTTCGACCTGATGAATGGAGGACCCCACCTGGGGTGAGACACGCACACACACATTGTGTTGAAAGAGTAAGTAAGGCCCAAAACCAGTTTTTTCAGCTGAAAACCTATGTATAGGGGTCTTTACCAGTGTTGTTGATTGATTCAGGTCCAGAATTTGATATTGGTGCAAAGCATTAGAATTTTGCATTTTGTGTCATAAATATGCATAGGAACCGCCTTCTACTGGTAGAAATCCAGCTACTGCAGATGCATTTTGCTACTGGTTGATTATGATGACATGTACGGTGCCAGCTTTTGTCACCAACCAACCAACCTTCTCCCTGCCCCCTCTTGTAAAGTTAACATCTCCTCGCCTGCTGGTGCAGTCAGACTGTGGAGAGACAGAAGATAGAAATGCATGGACTGAGTATAGTGACAGAGTAGTTAGACT